TTTCCCTGTCAAAATTAGATCTTTCAAAATGTCTTAGTTTGAAGGGATGACAGGAATGCACAAAATCTCCAGGTGTAACAATTTTTTTTAAAAATGCTCCTACCCTGAGTGCCAATATGAAATGATGTTTGTCTGCAGTAGATAGCTTAATGTCCTTTCCAGATGTGGACGGTGTAATTGCAGTTAAACACGTCATTAGACTTTCTGGCACCCAGTAGTTTGTTCAAATTCAGAGATATCTAAGACAGAAAATTCTTATGGGCTTTGAGTGCTTTGGACAGCACACTCTAAATATGTGTTGACTGTCTTAAAGCAAGGATGTAACTTTTTTTCTAGAGTTGATAACTTTTCAAAAATGCCTGTTCAAACAGTAGGTAAATTGCGTACCATAGCTTTCATTACCTTGGAAGTGTCTTTTTTTGCAAGTCTGAGAAAAATATTTGGAATGAAAAAGCCTGAAAGGGATATGCAATTTCACTGTTCTAACAGCTTTTGAAACTTGCCTATATTTATACCTATGGTCTGCTTCTGTTGGAAACTTTGAGTGTTGGTTGTAAATAGTTGACTTCAAATTTGAATGTAATTCTTAATGAAAAATAAATGCTGGTAAGAAAAATCTCTAGTGGTGCAGAGCACTATGTTGCAGCAATGACAGAGACAATAAAGAAAGATTGTATGTAAAATTAAGTGTGTGATCTGAGACAACGCATAGCAAAGATGATTATGATGTTACTGGCTGCATAGAACAGTTTTTTTCATCTTGAGGCTTTTTCATTTCAAATGCTTAATGCTTTTTCCAAAGCTTTAATGTACCTACCATCAGGGATCCTCAACCAAAGAGCTGCTGTTGGATAAACGCATACTAAGTCTAGCTTTCTGATCACAAGCAAGTAATAAAGCTTGGAGATTTATATGTGCTGGCAGTAGGTTGCTATGGGTATTGCTAACACTGAATTTGCTCTTGTGTTAACAGCCTTGTGAAAACTGTAGTTATGCAGGTATAGATCTCAAGTCAGTAGCTGGGGCTGGGGCAGAACTGATTAAATACATCCATCTCATTTTCCTGCATGACAACTGGTTTAACCAAGTAATTTGTTATGCATCAGAAGAAATAGCATTTTTGGATAGCTTCTATCCTTATAAGAAGGGAATTCAAATTCCCTACATGTATATACATTATATAAATGCAGCCTTTAAGTTGCAAGCATGTTATGGACAAACCTTTTTTCCCCTTTATGAAAACTTAGGCTGAGTTTGACAGGAACACTGATAGTTTAAAAGAATAAAATCACAGAATGGTTTAGGTTGGAAGGGACCTCTGGAGATCATCTAGTCCAACCCCCCTGCTCAAGCAGGGTCACCTAGAGCATATTGCCCAGGATCACATCCAGACGGGTTTTGAATATTTCCAGCGAAGGAGACTCCACTACCTCTCTGGGCAACCTGTGCCAGTGCTCAGTCACCCTCACAGGGAAGAAGTTTTTCCTCAGGTTCAGATGGAACTGCCTGTGGTTCAGTTTCTGCCCGTTGCCTCTTGTCCTGTCACTTGGCACCACGGAGAAGAGACTGGCCTCATCCTCTTGACATCCCCCCCCCTTCAGATACTTGTACGCATTGATGAGATCCCCCCTCAGTCTTCTCTTCTCCAGACTGAATAGGCCCAGTTCTCTCAACCTTTCTTCATAGGAGAGATGCTCCAGCCCTCTAATCATCTTGGTAGCCCTCCGCTGGACTCTCTCCAGGAGTGCCATGTCTCTCTTGTACTG